TTGCATATATATCTAATTTTTCGTCTTGTCGGTACAGTATACCATACGTGTACATGTAGAGGAAGTCAGCAGTCTCACAAGCTGACTTCACAAGATGTTTCTGAAGCTACGTAGTTCATTCATGAACAAGACAATCAATGAACAATACTATCCATGATCAGTATGATCCATGAACAATACAGTCCATGAACTATACGATCTATGAACAATACAATCCATGAACAATAAAATTATGAACTCGTAAACTGGTACAAAGATCACTGGAAAGAATGCTTCAAGGATAATATTGTTCCTGGATCAATTATACCAGAACAATCACAAATACCAAATGAACACAACGCTAACAGTTAAAAACCACGCAACATACGCTCTATTATTCCATAATTATGAAATTCTCACAGAAATTTGTCCAGTAATTACAGTAACAGCTTATATTAGTACAACGCTGGAACACTTATTTTTCTCCTGTCTACAAACACTTGTTAAAAAAATCTTCATAATTATATTGCGCACATAACTGGAACGACGAGATGTATGTATGTAATATATAATATATATATATATATATATATATATATATATATATATAATATATATTAATATATATATATATATTACATATATATATATATATATATATATTTTATATATATATTATATAATATATATATTTATATATATTATATATATATATATAACCGTGTCGAAATGGTAAAACTTTCGACTTTTACTTAAATAGCAACGTTCTTCTTGCCGAATAAGGCAAGCGAAAATTTGTGTATGCAGTAATTTCGCAAAAATCATTCTGAATCTGACAAAAAATATATTTAATTGTTTGTTTATTATTAAATTATTGTAAACTTCTATAAAATATATTTAGTTGGATTTGGCTAAATTAAATTGCGCTTGTTATAATAAGGTTAAGTAAGTTTTCTAAGGTTCTTTTGGTATAAAATCATTAATTTTTATATTAACATAATTGAAAAAAACATATATCTTGAAATGTGTAAGAGAAAATTTTAGAAAGGACTTAATTTTAAATGAGTTCATGCTAATTGACCAGTTTTAAATATTCGGCACATTGTGTGTATATAAATATATATATATATATATATATATATATATATATATTATATATAATATATATATATTATATATTTATATTTTATATATTATATATATATATATACACAATATACACACACTATGGTTAGCAAAGGGCAGAAAATTAACTCATTGTTACACAACAATAAAGTGATAAGTTAATTGTTATAATTAGAACCCGTCTGGGTTGATCTTCCTCTTGTACCTCCCGTCCCTGGGATAATACTGTTGATCTTCCTCTTGTACCTCTCGTCCCTGGGATAATACTGTTGATCTTCCTCTTGTACCTCCCGTCCCTGGGATAATACTGTTGATCTTCCTCTTGTACCTCTCGTCCCTGGGATAATACTGTTGATCTTCCTCTTGTACCTCTCGTCCCTGGGATAATACTGTTGATCTTCCTCTTGTACCTCTCGTCACTGGGATAATACTGTTGATCTTCCTCTTGTACCTCTCGTCCCTGGGATAATACTGTTGATCTTCCTCTTGTACCTCTCGTCCCTGGGATAATACTGTTGATCTTCCTCTTGTACCTCCCGTCACTGGGATAATACTGTTGATCTTCCTCTTGTACCTCCCGTCCCTGGGATAATACTGTTGATCTTCCTCTTGTACCTCCCGTCCCTGGGATAATACTGTTGATCTTCCTCTTGTACCTCTCGTCCCTGGGATAATACTGTTGATCTTCCTCTTGTACCTCCCGTCCCTGGGATAATACTGTTGATCTTCCTCTGTACCTCCCGTCCTGGGATAATACTGTTGATCTTCCTCTTGTACCTCCCGTCCCTGGGATAAATACTGTTGATCTTCCTCTTGTACCTCCGTCCTGGGATAATACTGTTGACTTCCTCTTGTACCTCTCGTCCCTGGGATAATACTGTTGATCTTCCTCTTGTACCTCTCGTCCCTGGGATAATACTGTTGATCTTCCTCTTGTACCTCTCGTCCCTGGGATAATACTGTTGATCTTCCTCTTGTACCTTCCGTCCCTGGGATAATACTGTTGATCTTCCTCTTGTACCTCTCGTCCTGGGATAATACTGTTGATCTTCCTCTTGTACCTCTCGTCCCTGGGATAATACTGTTGATCTTCCTCTTGTACCTCTCGTCCCTGGGATAATACTGTTGATCTTCCTCTTGTACCTCTCGTCCCTGGGATAATACTGTTGATCTTCCTCTTGTACCTCTCGTCCCTGGGATAATAGTTGATCTCCTCTTGTACCTCTCGGTCCCTGGGATAATACTGTTGATCTTCCTCTTGTACCTCCCGTCCCTGGGATATACTGTGATCTCCTTAACTCTCGTCTGGGTAATACTGTGATCTTCCTCTTGTACCTCTCGTCCCTGGGATAATACTGTTGATCTTCCTCTTGTACCTCTCGTCCCTGGGATAATACTGTTGATCTTCCTCTTGTACCTCCCGTCCCTGGGATAATACTGTTGATCCTCCTCTTGTACCTCCCGTCCCTGGGATAATACTGTTGATCTTCCTCTTGTACCTCCCGTCCCTGGGATAATACTGTTGATCTTCCTCTTGTACCTCCCGTCCCTGGGATAATACTGTTGATCTTCCTCTTGTACCTCCCGTCCCTGGGATAATACTGTTGATCTTCCTCTTGTACCTCTCGTCCCTGGGATAATACTGTTGATCTTCCTCTTGTACCTCCGTCCCTGGGATAATACTGTTGATCTTCCTCTTGTACTCCGTCCCTGGGATAATACTGTTGATCTTCCTCTTGTACTCCCGTCCCTGGGATAATACTGTTGATCTTCCTCTTGTACCTCCCGTCCTGGGATAATACTGTTGATCTTCCTCTTGTACCTCCGTCCCTGGGATAATACTGTTGATCTTCCTCTTGTACCTCCCGTCCTGGGATAATACTGTTGATCTTCCTCTTGTACCTCTCGTCCCTGGGATAATACTGTTGATCTTCCTCTTGTACCTCTCGTCCCTGGGATAATACTGTTGATTCTTCACTCTTGTACCTCCCGTCCCTGGGATAATACTGTTGATCTTCCTCTTGTACCTCCGTCTCCTGGGATGAATACTGTTTGATCTTCCTCTTGTACCTCCGTCCCTGGGATAATACTGTTGATCTTCCTCTTGTACCTCCCGTCACTGGGATAATACTGTTTGATCTTCCTCTTGTACCTCCGTCACTGGGATAATACTGTTGATCTTCCTCTGTACCTCCGTCCCTGGGATAATACTGTTGATCTTCCTCTTGTACCTCCGTCCCTGGGATAATACTGTTGATCTTCCTCTTGTACCTCCGTCCCTGGGATATACTGTTGATCTTCCTCTTGTACCTCTCGTCCCTGGGATAATACTGTTGATCTTCTTCTTGTACCTCCCGTCCCTGGGATAATACTGTTGATCTTCCTCTTGTACCTCCCGTCCCTGGGATAATACTGTTGATCTTCCTCTGTACCTCCGTCCTGGGATAATACTGTTGATCTTCCTCTTGTACCTCCCGTCCTGGGATAATACTGTTGTTTCTTCCTCTTGTACCTCCCGTCCCTGGGATAATACTGTTGATCTTCCTCTTGTACCTCTCGTCCCTGGGATAATACTGTTGATCTTCCTCTTGTACCTTCCGTCCCTGGGTTAATACTGTTGATCTTCCTCTTGTACCTCCCGTCCCTGGGATAATTACTGTTTGATCTTCCTCTTGTACCTCCCGTCCCTGGGATAATACTGTTGATCTACCTCTTGTACTCCGTCCCTGGGATAATACTGTTGATCTTCCTCTTGTACCTCCCGTACCTGGGATAATACTGTTGATCTTCCTCTTGTACCTCCGTACCTGGGATAATACTGTTGATCTTCCTCTTGTACCTCTGTCCCTGGGATAATACTGTTGATCTTCTGTTGTACTCCCGTCCCTGGGAAAATACTGTTGATCTTCCTTTGTACCTCCCGTCCCTGGAAATACTGTTGATCTTCCTGTTGTACCTCCGCTTGGTAATATGTTGATCTTCCTCTTGTACCCGTCCTGGGATAATATGTTGATCTTCTCTGTACTTCGTCCGGGATAATACTGTTGTCTTCTCTTGTATCCCTCACTGGGATAAATGTTGATTTCTCTTGTACCTCTCGTCCCTGGGAAATACGTTGATCTTCTCTGACTTGTCCTGGGATAATACTGTGATTCCTTTTGTACCTCGTCCTGGGATATACTGTTGATCTTCCCTTGTACTCTCGTCCCTGGGATAATTTGTTATCTCTCTTGTACCTCCCGTCCCTGGAAAATACTGTTGTTCTCTTGTACCTCTCGTCCCGGGTATACGTTGATTTCCTTTGTACTTGCCCTGGATAATATGTGATCTTCCTTTGTACCTCTGTCCCTGTGTTATATGTTGATTTTCCTCTTGTACCTCCCGTCCTGGATATATTTGATCTTCCTCTTGTACTCTGTCCTGGATAATACTGTTGATCTTCCTTGACTCCGTCCTGGGATAATCTTTGATCTTCCTCTGTACACCGTCCTGGGATATTCTGTTGATCTTCCTCTGTACCTCTCGCCCCTGGGATAATACGTTGATTTCCTTTGTACTCTGTCCTGGGATAATATGTCGATCTTCTCTTGTCCCTTGTACCTGGGATATTGTGTCTTCTTTGTACCTCCGTACCTGGGATAATACTGTTGATTCTCCTGTTATACCTCCTGTCCCTTGGATAATACCGTTGATTTTCCTGTTGTACATCCCGTCCTTGGGATGATACCGTTGATTCTCCTGTTGTACATACCATCCGTGGAAAGGACGCAAAGAGGCTATTTTCTTAGCTATCTCGCCTCAACTATCCACCCCATCTTCCAGCTCCCTTTCACCTAGTCTGGAATATCCCTCCTTCTTTTCACCTAGCCACTATCTAACTTTTCCCCATCTTTCAGGACATCGACACAGTGATCTACACCGACCCGTCACGGAGTGTGTGGGTAACCGCTTACTACTGCAAGCAGATGGAGTCACTGGTGTTCCTAACATACCAGCTGCTGGTGTTGTTCGTAGTGCCGGCACTCCTCATGATCATCTTCTATACAGCTGTCATCAGGGAACTCTGGAAATCGACCAAAAACATCAAGGCGCTTACTAACGCCTCCAGAAGGTGAGGGGGGGATACGAAGAGGAGGGTGGAAGGTGAGGGGTTTAAAACGGGAGGATTGGAGTGAGAAGATGTGAAAGAATGAATGGCAGGTCGAAGTAGAGTGGACAGTTTCATTGTCTCTCACAACATTCACTGTGTCTCACAACATTCACTGTTGTGTCTCACAACATTCACTGTGTCTCACAACATTCACTGTGTCTCATAACATTCACTATGTCTCACAACATTCACTATGTCTCACAACATTCACTGTGTCTCACAACATTCACTGTCTCACAACATTCACTGTCTCACAACATTCACTGTCTCACAACATTCACTGTGTCTCACAACATTCACTATGTCTCACAACATTCACTGTCTCACAACATTCACTGTCTCACAACATTCACTAGGGTCTCAAAAACATTCACTATGTCTCACAACATTCACTGTCTCACAACATTCACTGTGTCTCACAACATTCACTATGTCTCACAACATTCACTATGTCTCACAACATTCACATGTCCCCACAACATTCACGTGTCTCACAACATTCACTGTCTCACAACTTTCACTGTGTCTCACAACATTCACTGTGTCTCACAACATTAAACTGTGCTCACAACATTCACTGTCTCTCACAACATTCACTGTCTCACAACATTCACTATGTCTCAACATTCACTATGTCTCACAACATTCACTATGTCTCACACATTCACTGTCTCAAAACATTCACGTCTCTCACAACATTCACTGCCCTCACAACTTTCACTATGTCTCACAACATTCACTATGTCTCACAACATTCACTTGTCTCACAACATTCACATGTCTCACAACATTCACTGTCTCTCACAACATTCACGTCTCACAACATCACTAGTCTCACACATTCACTATGTCTCACAACTTTCACTTTTGTCTCACAACATTCACTATGTCTCACAACATTCACTGTCTCTCACAACATTCACTGTCTCACAACATTCACTATGTCTCACAACATTCACTATGTCTCACAAACATTCACTGTCTCACAACATTCACTATGTCTCACAAAAATTCACTATGTCTCACAACATTCACGTGTCTCACAAATTTCACTGTCTCACAACATTCACTATGTCTCACAACATTCACGGGTCTCACAACATTCACTATGTCTCACAACATTCACTGTGTCTCACAACATTCACTGTCTCACAACATTCATTTGGGTCTCACAACATTCACTGTGTCTCACAACTTCACTGTGTCTCACAACATTCACTGTGTCTCACAACATTCACTGTGTCTCCAACATTCACTGTGTCTCACAACATTCACTGTGTCTCAAAACATTCACTGTGTCTCACAACATTCACTGTGTCTCACAACATTCACTGTGTCTCACAACATTCACTGTGTCTCACAACTTTCACTTGTCCTCACAACATTCACAATTGTCTCACAACTTTCACTGTGTCTCACAACATTCACTGTCTCACAACATTCACTAGTCTCACAACATTCACTGTGTCTCACAACATTTCACTGTGTCTCACAACATTAAACTGTGTCTCACAACATTCACTGGTCTCACAACATTCACTGTGTCTCACAACATTTCACTGTGTCTCACAACATTCACTGTGTCTCACAACATTCACTGTTCTCACAACTTTTCACTATTTTCCCCACAACATTCACGTGTCTCACAACATTCACTGTGTCTCAAAACATTCACTATGTCTCACAACATTCACGTGCTCACAACATTCACTGTGTCTCACAAAAATTCCCACTATTCTCACAAAAATCACTGTCCACAACATTCACTGTGTCTCACAACATTCACTATGTCTCACAACATTCACTGTCTCACAACATTCACTGTCTCACAACATTCACTATGTCTCACAACATTCACTATGTCTCAACATTAAACTATTCTCACAACATTCACTTTTGTCTCACAACATTCACTATGTCCTCACAACATTCACTGTCTCTCACAACTTTCACTGTCTCACAACATTCACAAAGTCTCACAACATTCACTATGTCTCACAACATTCACTATGCCCTCACAACATTCCCCCTATGTCTCACACATTCACTGTCTCTCACAACATTCACTGTCTCACAACATTCACTATGTCTCAACATTCACTATGTCTCACAACATTCACTATGTCTCACAACATTCACTATGTCTCACAACATTCACTGTCTCTCACAACATTCACTGTCTCACAACATTCACTATGTCTCACAACATTCACTATGTCTCACAACATTCACTATGTCTCACAACATTCACTATGTCTCACAACATTCACTATGTCTCACAACATTCACTGTGTCTCACAACATTCACTGTCTCACAACATTCACTATGTCTCAAAAACATTCACTGTCTCAAAACATTCACTATGTCTCACAACATTCACTGTCTCACAACATTCACTATGTCTCAACAACATTCACTGTGTCCCAAATTCACTGCTCACACATTCACTATTTTCTCACAACATCACTGTGTCTCACAACATTCACTATGTCCTCACAACATTCACTGTGTCTCACAACATTCACTGTGTCTCACAACATTCACTGTCTCACAACATTCACTATGTCTCACAACATTCACTGTGTCTCACAACATTCACTGTGTCTCACAACATTCACTGTGTCTCACAACATTCACTATGTCTCACAACATTCACTGTGTCTCACAACATTCACTGTGTCTCTCAACATTCACTGTGTCTCCAACTTTTCACTATTCTCACAACATTCACTGTGTCTCACAACATTCACTATGTTCAAACATTCACTGTCTCACAACATTCACTGTGTCTCACAACATTCACTATGTCTCACAACATTCACTGTGTCTCACAACATTCACTATGTCTCACAACATTCACTGTCTCACAACATTCACTGTGTCTCACAACATTCACTATGTCTCACAACATTCACTATGTCTCACAACATTCACTGTGTCTCACAACATTCACTATGTCTCACAACATTCACTGTCTCACAACATTCACTGTGTCTCACAACATTCACTGTCTCACAACATTCACTATGTCTCACAACATTCACTATGTCTCACAACATTCACTGTGTCTCACAACATTCACTGTCACAACATTCACTATGTCTCACAACATTCACTATGTCTCACAACATTCACTATGTCTCACAACATTCACTGTGTCTCACAACATTCACTATGTCTCACAACATTCACTGTCTCACAACATTCACTGTGTCTCACAACATTCACTATGTCTCACAACATTCACTGTCTCACAACATTCACTGTGTCTCACAACATTCACTATGTCTCACAACATTCACTGTGTCTCACAACATTCACAGTGTCTCACAACATTCACTGTGTCTCACAACTTTCCCACTATGTCTCACAACATTCACTGTCTCACAACATTCACTGTGCCTCACAACATTCACTGTGTCTCACAACATTCACTGTCTCACAACATTCACTATGTCTCACAACATTCACTGTCTCTCACAACATTCACTGTCTCACAACATTCACTATGTCTCACAACATTCACTATGTCTCACAACATTCACAATGTCTCACAACATTCACTATGTCTCACAACATTCACTATGTCTCACAACATTCACTGTGTCTCACAACATTCACTGTCTCACAACATTCACTATGTCTCACAACATTCACTGTCTCACAACATTCACTATGTCTCACAACATTCACTGTCTCACAACATTCACTATGTCTCACAACATTCACTGTGTCTCACAACATTCACTGTCTCACAACATTCACTATGCCCTCACAAACATTCACTGTGTCTCACAACATTCACAAAGTCTCACAACATTCACTGTGTCTCACAACTTCACTGTGTCTCACAACATTCACTTGTCTCACAACATTCACTATGTCTCACAAAAATTCACTGTGTCTCAAACATTCACTGTGTCTCACAACATTCACTGTGTCTCACAACATTCACTATGTCTCACAACATTCACTGTGTCTCACAACATTCACTGTGTCTCTCAACATTCACTGTGTCCCTCACAACATTCACTATGTCTCACAACATTCACTATGTCTCACAACATTCACTATGTCCCCACAACATTTCACAATGTCCACAACATTCACTATGTCTCACAACATTCACTATGTCTCACAACATTCACTGTGTCTCACAACATTCACTGTCTCACAACATTCACTATGTCTCACAACATTCACTGTCTCACAACATTCACTATGTCTCACAACATTCACTGTCTCACAACATTCACTATGTCTCACAACTTTCCCACTGTGTCTCAAACATTCACTGTCTCACAACATTCACTATGTCTCACAACATTCACTGTGTCTCACAACATTCACTATGTCTCACAACATTCACTGTGTCTCACAACATTCACTGTGTCTCACAACATTCACTGTGTCTCACAACATTCACTATGTCTCACAACATTCACTGTGTCTCACAACATTCACTGTGTCTCACAACATTCACTGTGTCTCACAACATTCACTTGTCTCACAACTTTCCCAACTGTGTCTCACAACATTCACTGTGTCTCTCAACATTCACTGTGTCTCACAACATTCACTATGTCTCACAACATTCACTGTGTCTCACAACATTCACTATGTCTCACAACATTCACTGTCTCACAACATTCACTGTGCCCTCACAACATTCACTCTGTTCACAACATTCACTGTTTTCCCAAAACTTTCACTATGTCTCACAACATTCACTGTCTCACAACATTCACTGTGTCTCACAACATTCACTATGTCTCACAACATTCACTATGTCTCACAACATTCACTGTGTCTCACAACATTCACTATGTCTCACAACATTCACTGTCTCACAACATTCACTGTGTCTCACAACATTCACTGTCTCACAACATTCCTATGTCTCACAACATTCATATGTCTCACAACATTCACTGTGTCTACAACATTCACCTGTCACAAC